AAAAAAGTTTTTCAAGTGATAGGCGGCCCTTTAGGTTATTCGGTTTTACGAAAAATGAAATACTCAACTATTAAAACCTTTTTAAGTTGTTTTTTGAAAAAAGTTATCATTCTTAAAATGGGCTTATTTACATGAGACTTAGTAATGTAATATTGTCACCAGAGATCGGCAAAAGTCAAATTTTGCCAGGGGCATATGTTTAAAATTTANCCGGGCCCAGCCCGGGGTTTAGATTTTAATCAAGGCCCAGCCCGGCCCGGGGTTAAAATTTTGAGCTCGGGCCCGACCCGGGTTCGGATTATTATGTCAACGTTACACCTATTTACCCATAGCCCCATCGGCGCTCAACTTCCATCTCGGCGCCTCGCTCTGACGCCTAACCTCCATTTCGGGACACTCTGTTTTTGGTGATAAACTCTTAACGCCTGGATCATCTGGTCCTATGGTCCTCTGAATAGGATTTAATGCGAATTTTAAAGTAAAATTAAAACATACATCTCAACGATTCCCAAAATTTCTGGAAAAGTTCCCCAAACTTCCCATGAAAGTTCCCCAAAATATAGCGGAATAATACCATTTAGTATCAATTCAAAAAGTTCTAATGAAAATTCCCAAAAATACAGCAAAATAACAAATGTTTTTTTGAAGATAATCTGTATCTACTATCTATGAACCTCCGCGCTCTCTCCTTTCCCTTCACCAAAGTTCCTGGAAAAGTTGCAGAATTCTAGAAAAAATTCCTGGGGAAGCTCCAGGAAAAGTGTTCCTAGAAATACCCAAGGTTCCTTGAAGGGTTCCTAGAAAATCTCCAGAAATTCCAAAAAATCCAAGAATTCTAAAAAGTTCCAGGAATTTCTGGACAAGCTCAAAGAATCCTGAGAAAGTTCCAGGATCCAGGAATTTCTGGACAAGGTCAAAGAATCCTGGGAGAGTTTCAGGATCCAAGAATTTTAAAAAAAGTTTTGGAAAAATCCAGGAATTTCTGGACAAGCTCCAGGAAAAATCCCCAAAGTTACTGGCAAAATTCCCTCATAAATACAGCGAAATAACATGAATTCATTGTAGGGGAGACAGCGGCTATACGGCAACCGGGGCAAAGTTAAAATTGAGAATAATTTAAAAACTAATTGTCGCATTAATTTGAAACTTGGAACTAATGAAGATATATATTAGTACTACATGTGACCAAAAAATTGGACTCCGAGGTTTACCAGTTTAGTAAATATAAATGAAAATCGTTTTAAGGGCTATAAGTATAAAATAAAAAATTTTTATTTTTTTAAAAAAAAATATTTTAGACCATAATTGATAAAATTTTATACCATATATCTTACATCTTTTATACGTATTAATGTTATAATCCGGAGTTTCTAGCTTATCTAGAACTCCAGATATACCACTCTGAAAAGAACCACCGCCCCTGGGGCCATGTGGCAACGGGCAAAATGGCAATAATCATGGCGTTATATCATATTCGTGCCAGAAACATACTAAAAAGCAATTTTTACAATTTTTTAAATTAAAAAAACAAGTTTACTTATCATATAACTTATTTTTATTAGTTTAATTAATTCAATAAGATAAAATAAAAT